TCTTTATATAGTTGGACTATTAGGGTTATCTAACAAGGAAACCCTAATTTGGATGCTTAAGCCCTAAGCAACCCATAGACTCCTTTTATCAAGCCCTTGGACGATTTCCTTATGGGCTTCCCCATAGAATTCGTCCAACCCTTGATACAAGGCAATCCATGACCCAAATTGCAATTATCTTATAATTACAATTCCAGTCCTTTAAGTTTAATTAATCTCTTTTAGTCACAAAACTAATTACCAATTAATTATTGACTAATATTAATTAAACAATATGATTTCTCCTTTAATATATTATTCTCATAATAAATTAATAAATCATATTTAATCGTTACTCTCCATAAATCATCCTATCAAGTTGCTTTGGTGAAGGCAACCCAAAAGGACCACGCACCATCGGGTCAAATACATACCAAAATAGTTATGGACTTAGACACTAATCCAACAGGTAACCCATGACATTGCATGGAAAAGACCATGGGGTAGCCCATGACAATTGTATGTATGATATGTGGTATTTTGGGGAACTCAATAAAATTTGTTCTTGCGGTTTATGTTTATGTTTCAGGTACTTTCGGTTCCAAGGGAAAAAGCTCGACGTGATTGCATCGCATCCACCGGTGTTCCGCATTTTACGACATTGTTTTGTACTTTGATAATTATCTGATACTTTTCTATACTTTTATGGGCTTTTGGAGTGAATGAATGGTTGTTTTGGTTGACTAAAAACAAAAAATTTTACTTAGTATTTTTGGGACGTTACAAGAATGTTAACGGAGTTTTAGGTGTTTAATTCAAGTTTAATTTTGAGTTTATATGTTGTTAATGGATGATCTAAGGAATTAAACCTTACCTTTAAACTATTAGATCATTCATACATCATTAAACCGGTGACATTTGAAGAACAAGTGAAATATAGTTGATAAAATGGACAAGGAATGATTTTTTTTTTCTTTGCATGATGTAAGGTGAGCGGATTGCATGGCTTTGTACTTTAGCCTATGTAATTTTACATGACCGTGTAGTCTTTTGGAATGCTTAAAATTTGTAAATCACAAGCATAGGCTCATGAGTGACTCAACTAGTTTAGATGCTCTAAGCGAATCAAAAATATGGATCCTTTTGGCATTTACTATACTTAACATTATAAACTCTTATTTATCATATTTACTATTCTCACAATAATCATATATAAGTTTTTGGAGACTAAAGAGGTTTGGAATTTACTTGAATATCCATCTTTAGAGTGCGGATCTTGCTAACCTGAATAGAGTGCTAGTCTTTCTAGCATAGTGTGACTACAAACCCTCCCTTTAAGTAGAACCCCCTAAAAAGAAGGGCTTAAGAGAACTTTGGGTTTAGTTAGGTACATGACATACATTGCATCTTCTGTTTCCACTGCTTTATAATTTATTTTGATTTTTGTATTAAGACTTATTAGTGGTTATAATATAGACTTATTTGATTTGTTTAATCATTTATTTCTTACTAGGTTGTTCGTAACCTAACGTGTGCTCGAACCGACTTATTATATGGTTATAATATATACTTATTTGAACGATCTAACTAGGTTTGAGAAAGTGAAGTAACTTTAATGGATTACGTAACTAGAAGTCATACTCTTTTACAAATTACGATGATCCTCATATTTCGATTTTAGACCTCAATTATTGTGAAGGGACTTTAGGCATTTCACATGGATTAATATTGAAACAATATCAAACTTAAGGATCGAATCATTGGAAAAAATTTGGTTTGCAAGTATAAATTTTAGACAACCATAAGGACCATTTGTGTAAATTTTATTTTATTTTGGTATAACAATAAAGTTTTGAGGTCATCATTGGTTAAGGGACAAACAGTATCCTTATCCCCGGGAGTATTGGGTTCTCCGTCAAGTATGAATTTTTTTTTGGCATCCCTACTCTAAAGAGGGACACTACATATTGTTCTCCGACTTATGAAAACTATTCTATCATCGAAAAATCATTATTTCGTTGTAGTGTCTGTAATTGTTCTCTAACTTTCAAAAACTATTTGTAAACTCCAAAAACCACCATTTGTCGTTCTCAATCACTCTATGGGTATGATATATATATATATATATATATATATATATATATATATATATATATATATATATATATATATATATAATGTATGTGTGTGAACACCATTTAAAGTGAGAACAACTTTTAGCTTCAGATTTAATTTCATATATATATATATATATATATATATATATATATATATATATATATATATATTATATATATATATATATAATGTATGTGTGTGAACACCATATAAAGTCAGAACAACTTTTAGCTTCAGATTTAATTTCATATATATATATATATATATATATATATATATATATATATATATATATATATATATATATATATATATATATTATATATATATATATATATATATATATATAATGTATGTGTGTGAACACCATATAAAATGAGAACAACTTTTAGCTTCAGATTAAATTTCATTAGTTAAATGTCAAAAAAATTGAGTATCCTAAAAAAACCCAACATAAGCTTATTAGAAAATCATAATGTGCACAAACGAAACAAGTTAGCAGATCTAAAAAATCTTATGAAAACATTTAGTAATTAAGATGTTGTTTGTTTTTTCGAAGCGAAAATTCATGAAGTTTGCGTACCACCTCTGCAACCAAGGTTCTAAATAACGTAAGGCGTGACTTGGCGGCAATGTTAAGCCTCAAGCTTTTCCAAGCCTTGGCGAGTCACGGCGTTTGTAAGGCATGACTTAAGACGAGAATTTTCTATATAATTATTATTTTTATATGTATTTTTCAACTATTATTCATTTTTATACACATATATGAGTTAAGGCGGCGTTTTGGCAAAGCTTGGCGGCAGGTGCAAGCATTAGAGTCGTGGCGCGCCATGGCAGAGCCATGACGAGCTTTTTAGAACCTTGTCTGCAACAGAAGATGTGGACTAAACGGTTCCAACCTGTAATAAGAAACATGTTTGTTTTTTAACATTTGCGGACTGCTGCAGTAAACTGAAATTTAAATAAACTAATTTTATAAACTGAAAATAGTTCTACACCAAAATTTTAATTATTCTAATATTAAAACATTGAAAGAATACTAAAAAGAACATGTAAAAAAAGCTATCAGTTTTAGTCTAGAAAAAAATAAATTTTAAAAAACATAAAAAAGAAAATAATAAAAAAATTAAGAAAATATTGCAAATAATAAGTTCATACAATAATTACACATGCTAAAAAGTGTAACCAAAACTGAAAATATTATTATCCGAAACGGTAAAAAAAGTTAAAAAAATCAAAGTTTCTTTTTTTAAAACAAAAAAAAATCAAGTTATAAAAAATCGTGCAAACTATAAAAAAAATTATATCAAATCCGTAAATCAAAGTTTAAAAAAAATTAAAGTTAAAAAAAAAAATTCAAAGTTTAAAAAATAAATAAGCTATATCAAATTTCCAAAAAAAATCACGTGGAAAAAATGAAAGCTGAATAGGTTTGAAGAGACAAATCAAGTGTTGCGCTGTGCAGAACACGTACAAATGTTTTATAGTCTGAAATCTTCCAAAAAACAAACTGTTGTGAGATGGTAAGTGTTGCGCTTGTGCTCTGCCACACAACAAAAAATGTTTTTAATAGGTTTTAAAAAAACAAACATCACCTAAATATATAACGGTAGTTCAATGACAAATTTCAACTTTCCCCTTTAATTTTTATGTTTGGGAAAATTAAAAGAGGCAAATAGGTACAAGGTAGGTGTTTTAATAACTTTTAGTTAGGTATGTACTTAATCTATTAAGTTATTATGTCGAAATTAGTCAAAATGAAACAACCATATGTATAATTTGTCAAAAAGAAACAACCATATGTAATCGACTTAAATGTGTAATTCATTCAATCCATTAAGTGTAAAAATAAAGGCCGTCACATGCCTCCGATGAATTATCTTGAGTAGAGATGACAACAGGGGCGAGAAATATAGCGAATCCTCATTCCAATCCTCAAATCCTCATTGTAATCCTCATCTCCATCAGAGAATATTAATGAATCCTCATCCCCACTTCCAGTAGAAAACCGGGGATTTAATTTTCTCTTTTTATATGAAAACTTTTACGTAAAGAAAAACACTAAATTTCAATTTTACGAACATAAGTTTAAAGATATTAAAAAATATAAAAATATTCATAGATTGTATAAAAGCTATAAACAAAATTTCTACCAAATTTAAATACAAACATGAAAAAACAAGTAGAAAACCAATTATCAGTTATATTTCAGGTAAAATAGAAACCAATGTAAAAAAATTATACAAGATATTAAACTAGATGAAAAAAATACAATTTGAACAAAATAGTTATTAATCAGTTGTGTTATTTAGATCAAATTTTAGGTATTATAAATTATACTATAAATATATGTTACTATTATTTTTATATATTAATATGTAGGGGGACTAGGGTCGGGGATAAATGGTATCCCTATTCGCGCCCCGAACCCCAATCAACTTGGGAATTTCCTAGCAAAAACGAGCAACAAGTGCTAGTTTCGGGTTCCCCATCGGATATGTTTATTTTCCATCTCTAATATTGGGTTGAAATTCACGGTATTCATACATAGGTTGAATTATTAATTAAGGAATGTGGAGTGATTATTAATTAAGGAATGTGAACTCCACATGATCCATCCATATATCTAAGAATTTGATCTTCTATTTTTTATACTTACAAATATTTCTACCCACTAACATTATAACATGTATCATCATTTCACCATTCAAATTAATTTTATTTGATATATATTCCTAATATACTCTTAATTAATTAAATATAAAATGATGACACATATCATAATTTTAATAAATATGAATATTTATAGGTATAAAAAGTAGGAAACAATTTAATTTCTCGTTTGATTATAAGTTCACCCTATTTAAACCAATTTTTCCAAAAAATTCAAAATCAAAATGTGGGTTCGACATTTTCACTTTTAATGCATGAGAAATATCTTCCACAGTTATTAATATTTATAAACTGAGCCTAACTTCCTATGCATGTTCATTGATACCAAATAAACACTGTAATTCCTTACTCTAGTAAACTTGTACATACAACATATACATGTATACAAATAAAAGGAGATTTACAAACATTACACAAATCCACAACTTAGATTACATAGAACACAAACATAACAGTCAATATGCAAAAGCTCAAGGACATATACGTGCTATAAACCATATGCAACTATTAGCATTATTATGCTTCTTTTAAATATGTACTTTGCAATGTCAACAACCACCCTTTGTTGAGCTGATGAGTAGGCTTCATTCATTCAATCAATCTGAGGAAACACATGAACATAAAAACGATAAAAAGGTGTTGTTTAACATGTTTATGTTTTGAATATACAGTGTATTTATATTTTCACAATAAAGGGTTTTCCTTTATTGTCTAATAATTTAGATATTGTCGACCTTTTGTACTTTCTATTGCTTTGTTTTTTAGATATAAACATTGATAATGTGCAAGCTGTGAAACATTTATACTTAAGCTATCTTCCAAAAACTTGAATCATTTGTGGCTTAAAGAAACTTTGGTCTGTAGATTCGTAATTTAATAGTATTGATATAGCTAAAATGAAGATACAAACAAATAGAATTTAACAAACTTCTAATTAGATATCAATTAATAGTATTGATATCAATTAGATATTGGTTGTTGAACCAAACTTCTAATTATATTGTATTTTATAAGTAAAAAAGTTGAGAATAAGTAAGGGCCCTACATATGTAGTAAAATATATGCAATTCTTGACTTTATAAAGAAGTTTCAAATATATTATTTGCAATGTGAAGAAAACTTACATGAAAGTGTCAAGTTGGCTTCCAGTTTGCCCTCGGACCTATCATCAGTGGACTATCAACCACAACCCGAAACACTGGAACTTTTCTTCTAGCTGATAGGGCTTCATTCATTCGATCAATTTGGAGAAGAAGTTGTTTTATTTTCTGAAAAAAATAAAGGAATAAAGTATCCTAATAAGCAGAAATCAATGTCATGTAAGGTAAAAACGTGATACTTGTAGGAAGAATCTCAAAAAGCGAAGTATAATAATCTGTTATCCAAAGCATTTTATCAAACACCTGGCGTCCATATCAATTAAAGGACAAACCCTCATGCACGAGTCTTACAATCTACATAAATCAAGCAATATAACCCGCATATACAATGCGATATAATTACAATGAGATGTTTTAATTGATATGTTGAAATAGTCACCGAACGCATATAAAGCTGATTGCCAAACTGACCTCATCTTTCTGATTTATGAGAAGCTTCAGCTGATCCTTACTCTCTTTCGCCGCTAACATCCGCCGGCGTTGCCATTGCATTCCGTACACCATCACAGACGCAAAAGCCGTCACCGACGCAATTGACCAAAATCCAATTCTGTCACGGATCCCGTAAGCAATCCTCAAAACCCATGAGCTCAAAATCCTGAAACTGGCCTTTAGTTGCGTGCTTCTCGTTTCGGGTGGCTGTGGCAACTCACCCTCGACTATCTCAGTGGAAGAAGGGTTTGATGACGACGAATACGACGATCGTGGCGAGGGCGTTTCCAGAACTGGTTCATGGAGGTAGTCATCTTGTGGTGGTTGAGTGAAAACGAGTAACCCCTCGTGATTGCTTGGAGCAACACCCGAGGAATCGTGGAAATTGGTTGGTTTGGCCACCACCACCGCATCGCCGACGTCTTCATCCGATTGAGTGGCGGAACTGGATGCTTGAATTGTCTCCCACTCGTTGTCCTCCATGGGAAAGGGAAAGTGGAGATTTTTTTATTTTTATTTTTTACGATGGAGGTTCTAGAGCTGCCACTATAGACAATGGAGCTTATGCTGAGCCAGAACTTCACATTTTGCGATGACCCAATCAGTCTAATCCAGTTGGGCCATCCGACTGAGTGGAAGTTGAACGAAACCCGTTTCTTCCTTCCTACTCGCTACCAAAATAATTAAATAAAGCATTAGATAATTGTGTCAATATGGGCTAACAATTCAATAGGTACTCGAAAGATGTTCATTCTCAATTAGTTAGTTACGAGTTCACGTCTTATCGTGAATAAATATATAGATTTAAGAGTAACTCATACAAAAATACTCAACGTGAGGTATTTGTTCATTTGGGAACTGAAATAGGCAATAAAGATTATCGTTTACTTGACCCCAATAAAAATATTCGAACAAACAAGTATGATGGATTTGAAGAAGATAAATGTTGGTTATTAGAAGAATAAACAAGTTTCAAAGGTAAACCCATGTGGTGCTTTACTCTCGAAGGGTATCCTGATGAAGGGACTCCATCGACCCTTGAAACAAATGGTGAAGAAGTTCCTACCACCTTGAGATCATCGTTGTCAAAATCGCGATCATAATCGTAGGATCATACGATCTTACGATCCTAGGTATGAAAAACGATCCGGATCGTAAAAGGATCGTATTTGGGGTAGGATCGTAGAATCGAGATCCGATCCGATCCTACCTTTAATTTTTTTTTTTTGCAAATATAATTTTTTTTACCGCTTTATATCTTTTACCATTTACCAATTTACCATTTATCATTTTGTATTGTACCTTATGGCTAATATTTTGAAGTTTTTATAGCTTTTGAATGAAAAATTGAATGTTTGAAATATTTTTCATGATTAAAAATTATAAATTAAAATTATATTTTATTTTGTGGGATCTTAGGATCCCGATCCCGATCTTACGATCCCGATCTCGCAAACCCAAAAACGATCCTAGGTAGGATCCTGATCTTGACAACCTTGCTTGAGATAAGTCTTGATCATGACCTGGATAGTCTACAAACCTTAGTCATATGAAGCTTCGCAAACACCAAATACACGAAGTACACCCGAGCGATCATTTACTCACGAAGTGTTACATAAAACGTGAACAACCAAAAAAGGTGTACAAACTGTCCAAGGCACTCTATAGGTTTCTTCAAGCTCTTACAACTTGGAATTCGCTCCTTGATAAATGCTTAAAAGGTATAAAATTTGTAAGTTTCCCTCAAGAGTAAGTGATGTACATTAGAAAAGTAAAAATGAAACTCTTTGATAATTAGGATCTATGTTGATGATCTGATTATTATAGGTGATTGTCAGGTTAAAGTCAAGGTTTTTAAGAAACAAATGAGTAAGCAGTTTGAGATGAGTGATCTTGGTTTGTTGTGATTTACTTGGGTATTAAAGCAGTTCAGATCTATAAATGGTATGTAACGACCAATATTTCTATACATCTAATCTAAGGGGAAATATAAGAGTTTTCATACAATTGTAGAATTCTACTCTAATTAAAAAACTTTACTTCCCATGATAAATCACAGGTTTATAATAAAAATGTTCTTACAAATTAGAACAAGGAAATAAAACCTATACAGACCTTATGTTATTGTCTTCACTTTTGGTACCATGACTGCTGTTATCTGAACCTACAAAACATCAAACATATCTACAATATTAGACAATAATGTTTTGTTAGTTATATTCTTTCTATTTTCATGTTCATATGCTCTTACTATCTTTCATACTCTAAGCTTTCATATTCTCTTTTATCTCATACTCCACATCATTAACTCTTATTCTCATTGCATAGATTGCCAATCTTTTTCTCATCTCATTACATTTATCTTTATTCTTCAATCTCTTCTCATGCCTCAACATTCTATTCTATCATACTCATACTCTGTCCTTTATTTTTCGTCTCCAATAACACACACTTCTATTCTTTCCGGTCATCTATCTCTTCTATATTTCTTCTCTACTCTTTCTTATCTCATTTATCTCTTTCTATGCTATCTACTCTATTTCTCACACTCTTCTTTATACTCTAACTCTTAGCATGTCTTCACATGCTCTGCTTACTCTTCATCTCTCTCTCTCTCTCTCTCTCTCTTTCTATATATATATATATACACACACACACACAAACATATATATATATATATATATATATATATATATATATATATATATTCTCAACTCTAATGCCTCATGTATACTCTAAGAGAAACAACATTCCACTTTCATTGTCGGGTGAACTCATATGGACTTACTCTTCTCTCTTATGATCCCTCGTGGATCCTTAATCTTTTTTGTGCTCTTGAATCCCTTATGGATTCCTTAATCTTTCTTCTTACTATCGAATCCCTTACATATTCCTTACTCTTAATCCTTTACAGATTACATCTAAGTTCTTACAAAGAACTCTCTTATCTCGTTCCTCTCAAGGAACCTTTCTATATCTTCTCTAACCATACCCAAGTGTATTATCTATCTATTTCCCTATAAGGACATAATCTTATTCCCGTAGGAGTCATACTCTTTTCCCTGTAGAAACAATACTCTCATTCCTGAAGGAATTAGACTTTTGTCAACGTAGGAATCTCTATCTCTTATTCCCGTAGGAATCTATATCTCTTGTCCCTAAAGGAACCATACTTTGTCCCTGATGAAACCTTCTATCTCTCGTTCCCGAAGGAACCATACCCTTGTTCCTAAAGGAACATACTGTCTCTACATCTCTATCTTTGTTATGTGGCTCATCACATAACACTAGTCCCATGGACATCTATCTCTTTGTCTCATTAAGAAACCATCTAATCTTTCTCTTCTACTACTCGACTCATTAGGTACTTAATTTCTATCTATCTCCAAGAACATATTGGCATTTTACACAATACCATTAATGTCTAGACATAGATACACATTCCATGATTACACCACATGTAATCATCATCTACTCTTTTTACTATCTCTAAGGTATTTAGCAAATACCCTTCTCATCCAAACCCACATACTCATGTATACATACATGCTCTGCTACATGTATCTTGTGTATATGTCTTACATACTCTTAATATGTGTACATGCTCTGATACATTTCTTACACACATATTCTTTCTATATCTTCATCTTATTACTTGGGGACATTCACTTAGTACCCTAAGCTCTAACACACACACACACACACACACACACATATATATATATATATATATATATATATATATATATATATAATCAAGAGTGAGAGAGGGAGAGAAAGTAAGTGAAAGTAACAACTCACCTTATTACTTAGTGAGGACTAACAACCATTCTTGTCTCTTTTCTCCGATTGATGAATCTTAGCTCATCCTCTTGCTCAAGCCCTATTCATACAATAATTCATGTTCCTTAAAACTTGTCTTAGTCTATTAAGAGGTTATCTACTTCTTAATGTCAAAGTGATCACTTAATTGATCATAATTTCTAACATTTCATTCTCTACTTCTAATTTCAATCGAAACAATGAATTAAGCACCCCTAAAATATTTAATTTGTTACCATCTAACATCTAATGCATAAATTGACATAATTTCTAGTTTAAGGTTTCAAACCCTAAATTCACACATAGTGATTTCACAATTGAAATCATACATAAAGCTTTTCCAAAGCTTCTAAACACTACTAATGACATCAATTAACATGATTCTTAAAGGTAATCGTTCATATCTAACTTAATCCCATTAATCACCATTAAAAGCCAAAAGCTTAAAGATAGAGGAGATAATTACCTCATAAGCTTTTGATGTCTAAGCTTTGCCCCTAACTCTTTGAATCACCACAAGATCACCCTTCATCCTCAAAATCATCAGAGCTCATCCTCTGTAACATTCATAAAATTCATGAAAATTTAAAATTTTTAAATAATCCCAAAAACCATCATTGTTTACAAATAGTTTTCAAAACAAGTTCAATATCAGAGTAATCCCAAAATCATGAAGCAAAATATGAGGAGGTGCACGATCACGCCTTCGCTTTCCTGTGATCCTCTGAGGTACCTGAAACATAATCCAAAACTGTAAGCCCAAAGCTTAGCGAGTTCCCCCAAAATACCAATACATAACGAATAGCAAAAATATAATAACAACATGCAATGGGCCCATAACTAACATACTGGATTACCCATGAGCCCACAATATAAGTCTGGATTTCCCTTGGGCCTACATGTTATGTGTGGCTTGCTCCCTGGCTAGATCAGTCCTCGGACTGAATACCACTAAGCCCTCAGTACGAGTCTGGCATGCCCTTTCCCAACCCTCAGCTCGTATCTGGAATGCTCATGAGCCCTTAGTATGAGTCTACCATGCCCTCCCTGGCCCTCAGCTCATATCTGGTATGCTCTAGGGTTTGTTGGCTACAACACAGAGCAATACAACCTCAACCCAACCCACACAATATGTCGACAAATAACAGATAATATCATAAATAGATAAACCGACAGTAACACAGGTAGTTCAACAGATCTACCAAACTATCATATCAAAAATAGCATGCATATATATTCCATACTCAACATATGAACAATATCAGGTTATCAAACCAATGGGTCGGCCTGGGTGCCTTCGAGCCAAAAGTACAGTGAGGAAAACTCACCTCACAAGCAGCACAGAACTGATAAGGCATGACTTAGAATCTTAGCTCTCAACTCAAATGCCTACAACCACCAAGTGACCAATTCCATCAAAATCCCAAAAATACCCAAAATACCCTCAAAAGTCAAACTTGGTCAAACTCAAAGTCAACTAGTCAAAGTCCATAAACGCACCGAGTCAACCCAATCGAGTTAACTCACAAATGGTTGAACCATGCGAGTACGTGGGCGTACTACGGAGGTACGTGCATTGTAAACGAGGCTCCATAAAAATCACCATCAGAGTGGCTAACTAGGTATGTGGGGCATACGCCAGTCTATGCGGGGCGTACCCTTGCAAATCCATTTCCCTCCTTAAGTGCTTAATAACTTTAGCACTTGAGCTCATACTTCAGATCCAAGGTCCAGAGGCATAATAGGGTCATAAAGTTCCCAACTTTATGACTTTCCACATCCAAAAAGTCCTTAATGCAAGGTCTTAATCCATTAAGACCTTCTACTATAAGCATGGAGCCAAACTAGCTAAATGGACCTCATTTTTATGGCTTAGAACCCTTCTTAGGGTCTGCAAGGACTACCCAAAACGTCCAAAACCAAAC